TCAGGCAAACCAGATTATGTAAAAAGGATACCCATTGATTCTCTGATCAAGACATTGATTCTTCGAAGAACAAATCGCGAATTTCCTGACGAGAAAACTAGTTTTTCCGGCACTGGAACCGAAGTTCCTTGGTCAAAAACGTTACAGTAACTGCATACATTTTTCTTTGTTATCCTAACCCATTTGGGACAAACGAGCGTTGAGTTTTCACTAAATATAACTGGTAATGGAGAAAGCTGTCTCACTAAATTGCTATAGAACGTTATGCAATACTATTCATTCCACACAAGATCAACACCGTTCATATAAAATAACGTTAACGTTCACCAGAACATTCGCGTTCACGTTCAAAAAACGTCATATTTAGCGTTCACGTTCAAGGAACGCGAACGTGCTTTAGTGTTACGTTGAAAGGGAACGCTGAACTTTTGCAGGCCTACATAGAACCAAGAAACTGGCGAGCAATACTTATAGTACTAGTTAATTAAATTCACTTATGCATTCATTATAAATGCTGGCCGAGCATTTCGAACTGAATAGCATTAGTAGCGAACAAAGAAAGATTTATCGATTTTCTTCTCATCAACCGTGAAACAAAATTTCCAATAAAAATATTAAAATTTTTGAATAATCTTTCATTTGGTCCTTTTTTGTGTAATCAGCACATTTGAAAACCTTTTGCTTTTCAATCAACTCGTCTGTGATTCAACGTTTCTGACGAAGACTGATCTTGCTTTTCAAAAAACTTTGAAACAGTTTTGACTCTGCAGAAATCTTTCTTATCAACAGATCGATTTTTTTAGCGAGTAGACAAAATTCTTTGTTTCACGTTGGACATCTTTGTAGTATAGTTTCTAAAGCCATGATCATAGAGTGTTAACGTTTTTTCTATTTCAATAGCTGTTGGTCGACATTCTGGATTATTAGCTAAACAACGTGCAATTAATTCAGTAAATATTGGACTTTGTTTTCGTAATTGAATTTTGTGTTGGGAAAATATAAAATCATGTGATGTTTCTGTAAACAACTCATTCAATGTTAAGCCAAATGTAAATATATCTAATTTTTCATTATATTTATCATGAAAGAATTCTGGTGGCATAAATTTCACGTTACCTAATTGTGTATGGTGACAATCAGGATCAATGACCCGTGCGATACCCATATCACCAATTTTAGCTACATAACTATCTGTTACTAAAATGTTATCGGGACGTATATCACGGTGAATAAGTTTATGATCATGTATCTTTCTCACAGCACTAGCAATGACAGGCCATTGTTAATTTTCGTCTTAATGATATTTTTGCTTCTTGTTTTATGACATTAGCCAAGCTACCTTTTCCCATAAATTCCATAATGAGCATATATTTTTTTCCACCATTTGATAATTTTTGATCACAATAACGTTATGTTTTCAATATATAAGCGCCTGATAATTCCATATAAGCTGTTAATTCTTTAAAAAAACGTTTTTCAAGGGCGTGAACTCTTGTAGACGGTGGAACATTTATCACCTTATATGCAACGATGCGATTTTTTGATAACCATTTTGCTTTATACACACAACCTAGAAATTCATAAAGTTTTCTAATATACATTTCCTACATATTAAATTAAATATATTTCCACAGATTTGAATATGAGACACGTTATGGTGTGGACAGCTATCGAAGTGACAGAGAAAATCAATTTCTTTGAAAAATTGTCTTCAATTCAAACTCTCAAATTGATTTTTGTCTTGTGTTTCCGCGTCAGCTGATCTATAATTTTTTTCGTTTAATCCCTAATAATCCTGGTATAAAAGCTTTTCAGTTAAAAAATATAAAAAGAGTATTGGAAGAAACATTCTGCTGAAGAAACATATTGTATATTGTTTCCTTTTGTCAACAGATCTCTGATAAAATTTCTTTTCTTTCTACAATATCAAAGTTTTTTCACTAAACACAAAAAATCATGCGATTTTATATCACTTTATATTTACTTTATAATGTACTATATCAACTTGAAAGTGGAGAAAAATTAAGGCGATTACTTATAAGCAGATAACAGCACAAACATTCTTTAGCTAAAGGTACATGAAAAACAACCGCTTTGTC